ATACCATTGTTTAAAAAGATGGTCATAATAAGAAAAAAGACACAGATAGGCTTAGCTATACCATTGTTCAAAAAGATGGTCATAATAAGAACAGAGACACAGACTGGCTTAGTTATACCATTGTTTAAAAAAATGGTCATAATAAGAACAGAGACACAGACTGGCTTAGCTATACCATTGTTTAAAAAGATGGTCATAATAAGAAAAAAGACACAGATAGGCTTAGCTATACCATTGTTCAAAAAATGGTCATAATAAGAACAGAGACACAGACTGGCTTAGCTATACCATTGTTTAAAAAGATGGTCATAATAAGAAAAAAGACACAGATAGGCTTAGCTATACCATTGTTCAAAAAGATGGTCATAATAAGAACAGAGACACAGACTGGCTTAGCTATACCATTGCTTAAAAAGACGGTCATAATAAGAAAAAAACACAGATTGGCTTAGCTATACCATTGTTTAAAAAAATGGTCATAATAAGAAAAAAGACACAGACTGGCTTAGCTATACCATTGTTCAAAAAGATGGTCATAATAAGAACAGAGACACAGACTGGCTTAGCTATGCCATTGTTCAAAAAGATGATCATAATAAGAACAGAGACACAGACTTGCTTAGATATACCATTGTTTAAAAAGATGATCATAATAAGAACAGAGACACAGACTGGCTTAGATATACCATTGTTGAAAAAGATGATCATAATAAGAACAGAGACACAGACTTGCTTAGATATATCATTGTTTAAAAGATGATCATAATAAGAACAGAAACACAGATTTGCTTAGATATACCATTGTTTAAAAAGATGATCATAATAAGAACAGAGACACAGACTTGCTTAGCTATACCATTGTTTAAAATTATGGTCATAATAAGAACAGAGACAGATTTGCTTAGGCCAAAACTTTAAATAAAAATCTTACAAAATCCTATAAAAATTTTTCAATATCATATGCGAAAAGAAAATTGCAATTATAATTTAACTGTTTTAATATCGCGTCCATTTAAAACAATAGATATGTTGAGAAAACTGTTGTTTTTTGTAATAAAACTGAGTGGTATGAACTTCTCCTATGTCAAGGAAAAAAAAAAAAGAAATCTATAGTGCATGATTTGTGGCTTATTTCCTTGTTCTAGTTCGTTATCTCGATATTTTAGATATATACATCTAATACGATGTATTATTAAGCAGTGTCCCCACGACTATATTTATTGCTCCCCAATTCCAAATGCCGATATTTTAGGTGTCGCTCCAAAAACCGCATTTTAACTTATTTGGACTTTTGTTTTCGACGTAAAAGAGGTTAGTCTTGGTTTTTGTATCTCGAATTGAAAACACTACTCTCTACCGAAATAAACATTCTAAAACCGTGATATGTCAGTTGGCAAATATATGTATATATCCAGTTTAAATTCAACAAACGAGGAAATTAGCTTTTCTTCATTAAGCAAAGAAACGGATGAAAAGAGTATCAGAACCTTAGTGCTAAGCCTAGTTTGTGCAATCTTGATAATTTAATGATATTAACATGCATATATATTTATACATCTTTAAAAACGTGCTTCTAATGTAAACTTGTTAAAATAATAATACTTAACACCTTTGCCTATCTGTAGAATTACGCGTAACACATCAGAACATCATCTATGAGAAGATATTTCGTAGATATGAATTCACACACGGTCTTACAAATCAATTAAGAGTAACCTACTAGTACTGTACGCCAAAAATAATCAATAAAGCCAGTTTACAGTTTGTTTTTTTCAATTAGAAAAATATATAAATCAACCTAAAAATAAATAGTTTTTTTTAAATTGTTATTAAGAGATTGAACGAGAGGCATTGTTGATGAGTGTTTCTTTTTTGAATGTACACTACTAATGGTTGTTAATAATTCATTGTACCACAGCGCCATTTAGAGCAGCGGGAATAA